GGGGTTTGTGCTGTGAGGATGACAAGGCAATGCTAAGCCTCAGTGTCTTTGTGAACAAAAGGAGCACATTAGACAGGATAATGGAAGACAGAAAACACACACCACAGGCAACAACGAGGTGTGACAAAGGAGGGGTGCAGAGAGCATGAACAACAAGACACCCCAGGAAGCGGGCAATAAAACCAGGCAGGAAAACAGGAGTGACAGGCTTGGGGGTTGGTCAGAAAAGCTGGGGCAGGTATGCTAGGAAGTCAAACCACAGGAAGATGGCAAGGCCCACGTGAAGAAGGGGGGAGGGGGGAGAAACAGGACTCCAATTAAGTGATTTTGGAAGGGGAACTACAGCACGGGGAGTGTTGGGAGGGTGGGCAGACTGGCCTGTGGAGCTGGCACACTCTGCCCTACCAGGTCCGATGCGCTGGAGTCGGCCTGACGGCAGCAGACAAGTCAAAATGTGCACTTCACAGTGGTTACCACGCTACCTTTGGGGTGTGTGTGTTTCATCAGCATAACCCTTTTTAAAGATGCAGAGGATGGGGCCGACAGGGTGGGACGTGTCTGAAAGAGCCATAGTCAAAAAGCCCCAGCAGGCTGGGGCTCAGGGGTCCTTATCAAACTCATCGTGAGCCTTCTCTGCCCCACAGAGGCAGCTGACAACTAGCCATGCAGTCTCATGCAGACCCCTTCACTGCCTCGCAGCCCAGTCTCCTCATCTGTAGCAGGGTCCCTGTCCAGCCTCTCTGAGTACCTACAGGGAGAAATGAGGCTGTGTGTGTCCAAAAGCCACACCAACCAAAGCACTCCCCCACAGGGAAGCAGAGGAGTCAAGGCTTAGTCAAGCCTTCCCACTGAGTGGCCACAACCTTCACCATTACTTCCGTTTCCCTGACAGTCTCTTAATATCAGCCTACAGCGGCAGAGTCCTATCCTTCTGGGTCACATTTTGTCTTTCAGAGATGCTGCAGCCATGCAGATTGATCAAGACTTCTGCTGCTGTTTTTTATTGCGTCTCTAAGGTCTTGTGGGCCAGGTATCAGATGTGTCTGATTCGACCTATACCCTACTCACAAACTTGTCACAGGAACATTTTTTAAAGGGGGGTGGGGAGTGGGAGAGGAGGTCTACAATGGTGGTGACTTTATATAGGAACAGGAGAAATGTCCATGATTTACTAAGAAAGGCATTTTCTTAGACTGTTACAGGGGATCTCCTTACCTACTTTTCTGTCTCAGTTGAAAAGACAAAAAAGAAATCAGCTACTGACTGGGTCTGATATGCCTCTCATCAACCCTAGCTGATTTTGCATAAATTCCAACTTATACCCCCCCACACACACACACACAAAACAACCCCTCTACCCCCCAGCATTTCAGCAAGTCAATAATGAGTCCGGAATTGTAATCATCAACTCTGGGCTCATGTGGTGTGACCCAGAAGACAGAGGCCATTTGAGGACCAGGAAGAGGAGTGAGAGCCGGAACTAAAGACGGACAGACGCACCCTCATTCCTGATGAGAACATTCAGCCTGGGCTGCCTCCCATCCCGCATTTCTTGCCCAGCAGCCGATGGGCATGGGTGATAGGTTTTTCCACTGTAGTTACAATTTCATTTCACCAAGTAAAAGGCTCTTCCGTCCAAGTCTAATAGGAAAACAGAGAGCCTGTCTCTCTGCGAATTACTAAAACACAGTTTTTGATAGCCTATTTTGTCATGTCGAGTGGAAAGGCCACCCTCCTCACTCCCCCTGCACCTGTCCACCACTGGGGCCATAGCCAGTATCACAACAGGTAAAGGAGAGAAGGCCAGCTGGGCACAAACGGTGCCTAACACACAGAGGCCAGGAAAAGAGGGTGTTTTCCTGCTGGGCTGGGGGCCAGACCTGTGTTTCCTGGTCTGATCCCACACTTCAGAGCCTTGGTGGAGACAATGAGTGCTAATCTCATCATTCTCCAATGGGATGTGCCCACAAGGAACAGAGTTAAATATATTACTGTGGGAAAAAGGAGACGGGTGCATTAAGCCAATGTTTAAAAAATAATAATTTCACGAAGGCTTCCTTCAGATTAAATGAACCTGTGTGCAGATTGAGAGTATGTCAACAATTTAATAAAACAAAAGTGGGGACTTAAAAAAAAATCCTGTTTTATTCCTGTCATTGCGGTTAGGTGCCTACAAGTGAGCTCTGCCGCATAGTGACTCAAAGCACAACAGAGCAAAACATTGCCTGCCCCCAGGACACCAGCCTCACAGTCACCGCTGTGCCTGAGCCCCCTGTTGCAGGCACCATGTCCATCCATCTCGCACTGAGGGTCTTCCTCTTTTCCACTGAGCTTTACCAGCATGCCGCCCTTCCCTGGGTCTGATAATATGTGCTAAAACACGAGACAAGGTCTCACCATGCTCATTCCCAAGGAGCCTCTCATATTCCCAGATTAGGACAATGATTACATATAGCTCAATTAGTACAGAGGAATGTCAAAACACACAAAAAAGGTGGCTTCTGCCTCCTCTGTAAACAGCAGGCCCAAAGCTGCTATGAATGAACCGGGATTCTCCACTTTACTCCAGTCCTCCATCAAGCTCGTGTGAGGAAGAAAATATGTTCACTTGGTATTTCTTAAGTACCTCCTAAATGCATTTGACACCATTCAGCTGCAGGGACAATGTCCATAGTGGCCCACCACCACCCTACTCTCTGGGGAATATGGAATCTCTCGAGGACCCACACAAGATCCAAAGTTACATCACGAGGTTCATTTTTGACTCTGGATCTCAACTTTCCTTCTTTGGAGCATATTTAATTTGGCTCAGAAACAGGGGTTGCTTTCCAAAACATATGATGAGGGAAGTTACACTAGAGAGGAGGAAAAGTAGAAAAGAGGTAAAGTCTTTTAGATGTAATTTTGACCCTGGGAGGATCAAGTTGAGAATAGCTCCTTGCAAAAGAACAGCTAGCGATCTGCAGGTCTTGTTAGGCAGTGCTTGCCTCAGGAAAGCGCTGGAACCGTAGCCAGCTCCCTCCCAGCCCAATTAGAAGAATGTCCCTCAGGAGGCTCAAACCCTTCCCAGACCTATTCTTGCTCATCAGCACTGGGGCTGCAACACCAGGCTCCCCCCGGCACTGTCTGGTCCCTCGGGGGCTGCCTGTGTGTGTCTCTCGGGCCCGTTTGTTCCCCTTTAGCATCCTCAGACCCCAATTGCTCAAGTTCAATGGATCCTACTGGCCTAAAAAATTCTGATTGCCCCCCATGCCAGCTACGTAGACAACTGCCGCTCCCCCCAGAAGAATCTACTTGAGAGGACAGCACTGAAGCTGCAGTTAGGGGAGAGGGGCATGTCTGATCAGAGCAAATGGGAGCACT